GATTCTCCCGTTCTGCAGAACACGGGATCTTGAAGATTCTTCACGTTCCCGTGTTCTGCAGAACGAGAGAATGAATCTTTTTGAATTCCCCGTCCTGCAGAACACGGGAAGTTGAAAAATCTTCAAATTCCCGTGTTCTTCAAGACGGGAACAATAATTTTGTTTTTTTTTTTTTAAATTTGCAGCTCCCGTGTTCTGGAGCACGGAAACTCGAAGAACATTCAAGTTTCCGTGCTCCAAAACACGGGAGCTGCAATTTTTTTTTTTCGAGAAATTTTGCTAGATCTAATCCTAAACATGTGTTTTTACCTAAATTGAAAATAAAAATAATTAAAAGTAGTAGGATATCGAAAATTTACCGGAATCGAGCCTCGTTTGTACGGTTTGAATGTCGAAAAAATTTATGAAATTCGAATTTCTAGAGAGTGTTTGGGAATAGGAGAGAGAAATTGAAAAAAAAAAAATTAAATGAAAAAGATACCGCTGCAAATAAGCAATTTCAGTAAAAGTCCCGCTGCAAATAGTAACACCCTAACATTATATGATACAAATAAATGAATTAAAATTCCCCATTAAAAGTAAAGTTTTTAGCTCGTTCATCTCTTTTGGGTACTGCATTTTCTCTTAGCTCTCGATTCTCTTAGCTCTCGATCCCATGCGAAATGTTAGGAATGCCCATCACTATGTAATTTTATTGCAAATACACTTCATTTCCACTTAAAAAAACGTTACTACTTATAAAGACGTGTTCCGACTGAACATGATTTCAATAATATTTATTATTTATTTTCTTCAAAATGTTTTTCAATATTGTTTCAGTAAAACACATTCTCCAAAAACGTGTTCCTAAGTGAGAGAGAGCGCGCGCGCGCTAGAGAATGGGTCACTAAGATGCTACATCGGACAATTTATAACTATTGATATGGTTAAATAATCATCCACTCAATACACATACAATATGAGTGTATGTGATCTTATATATAAAAGTAAGAAATCCTAATGTAAGAAATCCTAATGGCATATTTGTAATTTTTTTAATATTAATTTAGTAGTATTTTTTTCATCTCTTATTTTCCAACTTTTTTTCTCTAATGACCTTGATCGCAAATCAGATTTACAAATTTGCTAGCAAAATTCTAATCCGTGCATAGCATGGGGAGAATTGCTAGTTGTATATAAATTCGCTAGCAAAATTCTTATCCGTGCATCGCACAAAGAGAATTGCTATTTGTATATAAATCAACGATTAATAATTACCCGGTATATTTAACCAAATGTCGTATCAAATAATTTACCCGGTATATTTCAACGTTTATACACATGGTTAAATATGTGAATGTTTTTTGAAACTCTCAGTCATCTGCTTTATTTCACCAGCAGTTTACGCGGGAAACCCCTCTCTCTCTCTCTCTCTCTCCAAATGGAAGTAAATTCTGTGGAAGATCTGTGTAAATTCGTGAGTTGTAAGCTGTCAATTACGTCCGATTACGAAATTTACAGCTCGACAATTCGTCTGATGTGATTTCACTTTCCTTTTACCTCAGTTAATTTCCTGCGCGTTTCGGAGATGCCGCATCATAGACGAACTCTGCAGACTATCGGTTTCTCTCAAACCCGCGCCTCCTCTCGTTCGAATCTCAGGTATACATGGCACATCTATTTATGAATCCGAATTTTGTAATTTCGAATAATTAGGTTTGCGTATTCTCTGTGGCTGTGCAATACACAATCACGAATCCGTGTTTGTAATGTGTTTCAGTAAATAAATTATGTTCAGGGTTTAAATTTTCTCCATATTTCTAGATTCGTTAAAATCTAATTTTCACCGTATTAATCTATGATTTGTAGAAGTGTATTTCTGGAATAATAATTCGTAGCTTGATTTGGCTAATCTATGTTGTTTATGGCGTTAGTAGAAATAGAAATAGATCATTTTCGTGTGACTATAATAGTTGGGCTGCGAAGAAGTTTGATCAGAGTTTTACGAAATATTGAACGGGACGAATATATAATAGAGTTGCAGGACTCATTGAAGAGTGATTAGTGACAATAATTGAAAAGTTAATAAACTTAATTTTCTGGATGTTTTATGCATGTTTTTTTTTGCTTCAACAGTTTCGGATACAGGCATTGGAAGCACTTTGGAGGAATTTCAGCAATTGAAGTACCAGAACAACCCAATTTTGGATGGTAAATGGGGTAAGTAAAGATATTGCTAAATTACTGGTTCATCGTGTTCAACAAGAACTTTCTCCTAATCGGAGCTGTTGTGCACATTATTTATCGTTGCAGGTCCTATTTAATTACATTCAACTCTTGTCATTTACTGGTTCATCATGTTCAGCAAGAACTTTGTTATTTTGCCTGCATTAGTGGTTCATTATACTTCTTTCTGGTTATCTTTAGTTTCATGATTACCTGTTTACTACTAAAATCTATGATCATCTTTAAGTTATTCATGCATTCCGGGATGTCTGACCAATGCATCTCATCTAAGTAACTTTGAG